ATCAATAAACGAACCCAATTTGCTGGTACAAAAATGGATGACAACTTTCTGTCGACTTAAGAAGTTGGAGAAAATTAAAATTTACGCCTGCAATACGCAGATTTTTGAGGGTACACTGAAGTGCTTAGAAGGATTACCTTTGCGTTATCTGGAGGTGGATTGCTTGAGGCCAGTAAATCCAAATATCTGCAAATTACTGGAATCGTGTTCCAAACGACTCGAGCACCTCGCATTTTTYAACTTCTATCTGCCGAAAAGCATAACGGGCATGCGCATAGTAAGCGATTGTTGCCGGTACTTGAAAAAGCTCATATTGAGTTATACCCGTCTAGTCGAGGAGGATGAGCTTTGCAATATAGCAAGTAATCTAGTAAATTTGGAGGTGTTAGTATTGCAATACTGTAAGAATGCGGTGACGAATCGTTCATTGGCAGCCATTTTCAAACATCTAACGGGTTTGCGCGAACTAGATTTGAGTGGCAACAATGATTTCGATGTTAATGCATTAAGTGGCAGCGCCGTTAATCCGTTTCCGATTCAACGCCTGCGAAGGTTGGAGAAACTGAATTTGAARTCATGCCAACAACTATCGAATGACGAATTTTTGGCAACACTGAAGTTCCCATTTCTGCGTAGTTTAAGTTTTGGTCATGGCATGTATACCGACGGTGGTATTCAGACTTTGGTCACACAGTGTCCACTGTTGGAGGAACTAATCATTACGTATTGCCCGACTTTGGGTCGTAGCACTCTGTTTTGTATAGCGAAAGCACTGCCACGCCTACGTGTGCTGCATCTCCTGCATTGCGCCCAAGTGGACAAGTCTGTGCGACTGATACTCTATAGTGCATGTCCGCTTTTGGCGGATTTAGAAATCTCCGAAAAGCGCACATTAACGAAGACATATTTTCATCAGTAGTGTGTATTGTTTAAGAATAGACGAAACCAGTGAAGCTTATTTTTTGTTTTGTTCCTTGAAGTATTCGTTTCTAGCTTACGTAAGTGTTTCTATTTTGGTTTCTTCAGAACTGCAATTTTTATGTACAAAATCGCGTAAATGACAAAAAAAAAAAAAAAATTTTATTAAGTACTTATCAGTACACATACATATTTTCGATTTTGAATATGGATTTTCGTATACTATTTTTTTTAATCATATATACTTACATGTGTGTATATTTATTTAATATATGTTCATATTTATAAAAGACGATTGTTCATATTAAAGCCTAGGGAAATAATTTTACATATAATTAATAGTAATGAATTTATTCTCAATACTGTAAAAATAGAATAAAGTTWTAATAAATATAAAATGACACTAATATAATTTGAAATTAATATTTAAAAAAATAAACTGCTTAATTCGAAAATAATTAAGAAATGTGTTTCGCAATTCCAAAAACATACTTATATTTTCCCGCAACTTAAGATTAAAGCCGTGGAAATACGTTCAGGTGTTGGAAAAACCAAACATTTTGCAACGGGTGATTGAAGTAGAGGTACTTTTTTCAACCCAATCTTGAGACCCAGCATTCAATGTTGGATAATATTCGAGAAGACCGTGGAGTGTCAATTCGGTGCCGTTCGAAAAATCGGTCGGACGTAAGGAAAGACTTAGTGCGTTTTAAGCATTCAAAATACAGCTGGTACAAGAACTCAAGTYACTCGACCTTCCCAAGYGACTCCCTCGCTYTACGGGCTCTTGAAAAGTTCCAAGAAGWTCTRACATTTTCGAGCCAAATTTTGTTCAGCGATGAGGCCCACTTTTGGCTCAATGGGTATGTAAACAAGCATTTGGGACGAAGAGCAACCTGAATATATTCAAGAGCTGCCATGTCATCCAGAAAAAAACAATGGTTAGGTGTGGTTTGTRGACCGTTCGTATCATCGATCCATATTTCGTGAAAAATGATGCCGGTGAAAACGTAACCATCAATGGGTACCGTTATCCCGCCATGATAACCGACTATTTGATGCTTGGAATTGAAGCTCGTGATTTCGGTGACATTTGGTTGCAACAAGACAGCGCCACTTACCACACATCCTATTACGYCTATCTGCCATATCAACCCTCCTTGGGCGCCAGGGAGCATATGTACCAAGTTTCATAAAAATATCTCAATACAGCAGCCASTCGGAATTCAATTCGTCCCGTYGTCGTAATCATTTATATTGTGTCGTTCGCTAAGTAAATTCGTTTACATTCATTTCAGTATCATTTAAACACGATTTTTTTATTCCTTAAAATTCATTTTTATCCCATACCTGTTGTCATCTTTCGAGCAAGATAATAATTCCACGCTCATAAAATTTCTGATTCTTGCAGCAAAAAATTAGTCTAAGTGGTTTTTTACGTTCTGATTTGAGGTGAAGGTTCTTCCAGACAATCCAATTTAGAATTAATTGTGGTATTATCAGGCAAAGGTGCATAAAAAWCGACCCCATTGAAAACATACCAAACGGACATTGGTGACTATCACCCTCGAAGTGGTTTGAGTTGGCTTATCCCCATGACTTCTTGCGCTTTATATTCTTGTCAGCATCAGACTTTTCGTCGCCAGTAATAATGTGCTTAAAAAATGGATCACTTCTTTGAGGTTTGTTAAGCAAATCGCAGTCGTTAATGCAACGAAGCAAATTTCGTTCTGTAAGAATATGAGGAACCCATTTGTCTTGCTTTGAAATTAAGAATAAACATTTCAAGTGTTGTGAACGGTCGCGTTAGACAAATTTAATCTTTTAGCAAACTCTCGAGTTGTTATTCGACGATTTGCATCGACCAATGTCTTTATTTTATTCTTATCGCTTTCAAAAGTCCTTCAAAGACGTGGTGCGTCCCCAAGTTCGAAATTGCCGGAACGAAATTTTGCATACCAATTTTGAAATTGGAGTTCGGTTAACATATCTTTTCCGTACACATCACATATTTTTCGCCTTGTTTGAAATGCATTTTTAATCTTTCGATAGTAAAACAGTAAAATATACCGAAAATGCTGTTTTCGATCTTCCATCTTTGATAGGGCACCAAACAAAAATTATTCCAATTAATTGAAGAATATTTTTTATAAACAAGTCTTAATATATCAGCTGTTCAAATAAATAACGGTAAAACGGTTAAGTGTGAAGTTGGCTGCGAAAATAAGATCACTGTTGTCAACAAACAAAATTACTTAGTGATCGACCCAAAATATATTTTAAGCGTATAGGATTTCCGTCGTTTCCAACTGGTTCTAACAAACTTCTTGTCTAATTTAATAAATCCTTTTTAAGCTAAAAACTATTCATTACTTCGAATTTGCGAAGTAATGCAGACTTTTCATTATAATAAGCCTCTTTATAACAAAAGCAAGACGTACTACCTTACTATCCCTAGGTACTACTTAATCAAATAACATTGAGGAGTTCTTTTATTTTAAAATTAGCACATAACTTATACTTTGTGACAAAACAGTTCCCGGAAATTGTAACTTAAATTCCATATCAGTGTGATCTGTGAACCAGTTTGTTTAGAGCAGCTGCTTAAGTCGGCACACCTCTGTGGTGCATTTGTCTCAAATTTTTAATTTCTAACCAAATTTCGTGTGTGGAATCGTTGCGAATGTTGGAAAAGGCGTGCAGTGATTCAGTTTTATCAATAACCCAACCCTACTAGTGGTAAATAATCTTAAAAAACGGTCGAGAGATCATTGAAGACATGCCCCGTTCCGGACGAACTTCGACTTCTTCAACTGATGAAAATGTTAAAAAGTGAAGGAAAGGTTCAATCGTCAGCCAAGTGTTAAAGAGATGGTAAGAGAACTCGACATCTCTCGTTAGTTCATTCGAAATATTTTGAAAATGAAATGCGATCTTGCTCGACTCCTTTTGATAAAGTGGAATTTTTTTCAAAAAGAGTTCCAAAACAGGTTTCTTCGGACATGCTTGATAGTGCGAATTCCGATCTCACATTCATGGAGAGCATTATAACTGCCGATGAGACATGGGTTTATGAGTTTGACATTCAAACACGTCATAAATCATCGGAATGGAGGGGAAAAAACGAGCTGAAGCCAAAAAAACCACGGCGAAGCCGCTCAAAAATCTAGTTGATGCTTGTTGTTTTCTTCGATACCGTGGTTTGGTGCATCTTGAATTTTTTTCGAAACAATAGACGGTCAATAAGGAGTTCTATTTGGCCGTATTGAGGCGTTTGTGTGATAACATTCGTCGAAAACAGTCAGAATTTTTTACGATGATAATGCAACACCGCATCGATCCATAAGAGATAAAGCAAAACTTGCTGAAGGAGCTGAGGGCCATCCCGAAAAGTTGAYTATGAAGTGTTTCGAGGAAATCGTTGGCATAAGTGTACTACATCTGGTGAGCATTACTTTGAAGGCGACGAATTAAAAATTGATGAATAATTAAATATTTTGCATTTTATTTACTATTACCGAGTACTTGTTTGTCACAATGTATATGAAATACACACAAACATTTATGCGATTATTTTCACTACATATCATTTCATTAATAAAAGCTCAGCCATATGCAAATTGGTGTCCCTAAAAGCTCACGCYAAGGGGCGCTTGATGCGAAAACTAACCTTAATTCAAATGTAATCGAAATGTAACCTGAAATGAAAATGAAAACGAAAATAAATCACTCMTATACATWTGTATGTATGTACGTATATGTATACAATTAAATCAACGCCGGCAGCGGCAATTGGTTTAGCAGGTTAGCAGCGAAATATGTATATGATATGATTGCATTGTTCGCATGTAAACTACCAYACACACATATATAATTATGTGCAATTATATACCATGCACGAGTATGAAACGTAATAGTGCGAGCTATGGGATCACCTACGAGTGCTGGCGCTCGCCACTGTCACCGCAGCAATCGGCGTCGTCCTCGTCGCTGTTGTTATTGTTGCTGTTGGCGCGAACTTTGCAATAAATACGCGCGCGTGCAACGTCGCAAACTCTTTGCATTCATGACAGCCGAAAGCGCGACAACAACGGTACCCACCACACGTGCAGCGACGACAGCGCATCTAAACGGAATTTAGTTRGAGGCAGGTCCAACCAAACGAAAAGTATCACTGCCGCTGGCCAGACAGTCAAACGTTGCTGAAACGCGAACTTGAACGGGCGCGCAACTAAAAGTTTTTCCGCCAAACGAATCTTCGAATCTTAACCGTATACCGTTACGTATGCCATGCGTTCGCGGSTACAAAGTTTTTCGTTTTGCATAAAGTGTTGAGAGATCTGTATTTATTTGTGAGAAAATATACRGTGCGTTGTCACAGACTTGCGTGCCAAGTGTGAGGCGGCGCGATTACCGCTGAGACGCGCGCCTGTTTGCCCGCCTGTCAGCGCTCGCACTCAGGTGCCGATACTCGCAATTACTTTGAATGCGCACGGTCGCACGGGTCGTCCGACCGCCAAGCGCATTTATTCATTGAATATTATTGTGATTTGCATGTTGTCGTTAGAGAAGAATAATAAAAGCGCGAAGGAAATCGCGTAGCAAATGCAGTGCGCGAACACTTGTGGCTAAACTAAAAATAAAACAATTAATAAACAAATAAACAGTGGAAATTTTATTAGTGCTTAAGACAAAAAAGTGTAGAATAAACAATTGAAATAAAGACATTAGTCGGAAAAATAAGGATTTCCGCAAAGCGCGCGCTTCAAAGATTAAAAAAAACACATGGCGCCTGCAAACGATTCAAGCGAAGCAAGCAGTTGGACAGTCATGCCGCCGGCACCTGATGTTCAGAGCCAGCTTAGCGCGCTCCTCAATAGTTCTAGTAATGTGCTTAATAACAGCTTTTCCACCGTCAACGCCATCTCTTCTAATTACAGTTATGAGCAAATGCAAAACGCTACGCTTCAACACTTTTTTGATCTCGGTCCGACGCGCGACCCACTGGAAATCGTCATACCCGTGACGATCATTTACAGTTTGATATTCGTCAGCGGTGTCATTGGTAACATCAGCACTTGTATAGTGATTAAGAAGAATCGCTCCATGCACACCGCCACCAATTACTACCTCTTCAGCTTGGCCATATCGGATTTCCTGCTTTTGCTCTCCGGCGTCCCACAGGAAATGTACTTCATCTGGTCCAAATATCCGTATGTGTTTGGTGAATACTTTTGCATTGGGCGCGGCGTGTTGGCGGAGACTTCTGCGAATGCAACAGTGCTAACCATCACCGCTTTCACCGTGGAACGCTACATGGCCATATGTCATCCGTTTTTGGGACAGGCTATGTCGAAATTGAGTCGCGCCATACGGATTATTGTGCTCATTTGGTTGGTGTCCGTTTTGACGGCCATACCACAAGCAGCGCAGTTCGGCATCATCGCGTTGAATGGCATTGAGAAATGCACCGTTGTGCGGAACATCATTCAGCACTCGTTTCAGTTGTCCACCTTTATATTCTTCATTGCTCCAATGTCTATAATATTGGTATTGTATCTACTGATTGGTTTACGWTTGCATCGCTCGAGTTTGATGGGCGSCGCCGGTGAGGCTGGCGGCGGTCGACGTAGTTTTAACTGTATTACCACTAGCGTGAACGCTGCCAACGGTAGATCGGCTGGTGGCACAGAGGGCGGCGGTGTTGTTAGTAATGTCAGTGGGAAGGGGAGTGGTCGTCTGGCGTACGGTGGAGGTGGCGGTGGCGGTAGTGTGGTGCGTGCGATTGGCACACGCAAAGGGAGTGATCGCATGAGCATGAAGGGTACGCAGAGCGATACGATGCTATATCGTTATATGGGTGGTAGCCAGTTGAGYGCCGTGCGCGGTCGCATGAATCACTATGGAACGCGACGTGTGATAAAGATGCTGGGTAAGTGTTTAGCGGTGGTGGGTGTGTCAGAGGGGGGCAGACCAAATTTTAAGTAAATTGTAGAGACGTGTGTTACTTGTCAAAACGGTGTGTACGGTGRCAGATTCTCACCTCCTTAAGTCTCATAGTTTTAATACCGATCCTGTTGGATAAACATATAGAGAATTCAGGACCAGAGAAAATGCTCAGAATGTACATAAGTATCATTTTAGCTCTGTTTTCCGAGTWTTTTTTTTCTAAAATATAAGGGAAATGGGATCCTAGTTGGAAAGTCATTTATGTACCATGAATATTTTTGAGATATTAACGTGACTTATCCTTGTCGTCTTATCATCTCTCTCTCATACCTTTAAAATTCGATTTTTTTTATGTTTGGTCGTAATCGAGCGAGTTTTGCTCCGAAAAAAAAATCATTAAGATTGATACACGTATTTCGGGATTAAGCAACACTACTTTTGCAATCTGGAAACTAAAACTTTTTTGAAAAGTTTACATTTTGATGTTATGCATACTTAGAACTATTTGACATGCGAGCRTTATTTGTGTTTACAGTAACTTARAATATTCTTCTCGACCAAAAAATGGAAGTRAATCGCGAACATTTTCGCACGATTATTTCGTACAACTTTTGACGGGACCATTGTTTAACGATGTTGTGGCGAATTCAATCGACGTCGTAGATCACGCCAAGACGAATTTCGGAAAGGTTGTCCAAAACCAGTTGTTGTTCCGGAAATTGTTAATACTGTACGCAAACCGTGTTGCACTATCGTCATGTGACATATCGTGAGATTAAGAGAACTATGGGCATTAGTTGAATGGACGAACATTTGACTATAAAAAAAAAGAAATTGTCCACGTTAGATGCCACGCACATGTGAGCCCCCAAGTCAACGGCAGTCGACTGTATGGATGTTTCAAAATGAGTCAAATTCAACCAAAGTTTTGACATACGAAGACTTCCAAGCAAATAGTTGTCCTGCTTTTTTTTTTTGGAATAACTCAACATTTCGCAACAATCCCACTAGAGCAAAGTAGAACAGTAAATTCTGAGTGGAATAAAGCCATTTGTTTGCCAGCTGTCTTTCGAACTCGGGAAAACCAACCGCCGACAACGGATCTCTTCACTACGACAATGTGAGCTCTCACACATCGACTGAAACAACTGTATTTTTGATATTACTGATAACATCGATTTGATTATTGGTCCACCATATAGTCCTGTCTCTGTACCGGCTGACTTGTATTTATTCCCGTTTGTAAAGAATAAAATAAGAGGTCAACGTATTTTGACACCCGAAGAGGCGATTAAAAAAGGCATGTTATGAAAATATCTCAATCAGGGCGGCAAAAGTGCTTCGTCAATTTGTTCAAATGCATGCAAAAGTGTATAGATCTTAACGGAGAATATTTTGAAAACCAAAAAAAGCGATTTTCGGTGATTAAAATTTTGGTTTTGTTCACGAATCCCGAATTGTAAAAGACAACCTACGTAACGCAAGTAGAAAACAAAGCTTGAAGCGACGCTCGTCTTATTAGCTGTGTGAAATTGCTCTCATTATTAGTTAATTTACTGTATACATACTTAAAAAAGTTCATCTGAAGATGATTTCGCCAGAAGTCATAAGAAATAATCTAATTTTTTCGTTCGAGGGTTTTAAAAAAGAAAAGACGGGTCCCGGAGACTCGGAGATTGTACAGTTGCCTTGGATAATAATTCAAGCCAAATTTCCGTATAAAACCTCGATTTTTATAGTTCAGTTYGTATGGTAGCTGTATGCTACAGTGGTCTTGAATCGGCGGTTCCGACAAATGTTCAGYTTGAGGAGAAAAGGCCACATGCAAACTTTCAGATCGATATATSAATAAMTAAGRGCTTCATAGAMTCTCCGTTTGCTTATTTGTGACAAATTTAATATACCCTTAGGGTATAATGATAGATTATCCGGATATCATTCTTATAGTAAATACGCTTATAATGCATCTATAAATATTAACTAAAATGTAAAATTTAACCATGTAACACAATAATTAATTCAGCTGACTAGTTCACTTTCAACACTAATTACACCCGAACCAGCAATGTACGCCAATACATTGAAATTGACACCCTCATTTACAATATTGTTGGACAATTTCACTTTCYAACATATGCTTTTATTGTAGCGAATGAGTTACGAGTAATATTTTATTATTCGCCTTATCTCCCATTTTGGTTTATGAGCGACTATTTTCCTTTGCATCATATGTTATACGCCAAATATTGTCGTTGTCACATATTCTCGTTTACCTTCACCAATTTGCGTACGGGAAATTGTCGTACTAATGCCAACAAACATTGCAACAACTGTTTGGCAGGATCTATTAATACAGCACGGCAATCAAATGTTCGGCTATGATGACGACTGCATACTGTGTCACAATTAGAATTCAATTTTTTCCGAAAAATTCGATATTTGATATGTGGCACGACGAAGTTGTGCTCCAATACATATATTTATATATATATGTTTGTATGTAAGCGTGTATGTGTTGATTCCTAGTACAACATACTAACACTGTCATTAATATGCGCAATTGCTCATCAGTATTTAAGTATGTTCGGTATCTAATTTACATAGAATGCACTGTGGGAAAAGTACAAAGTCCTTGAGTGAGTTTTACTCACATAAAGATATATAATTAATTTTTAGTCATAATTTTTTGATATACAACATTTGCTCTTATAAAGACACTTAGAACCAATTACAAAACTCTTAAAATGTTTAAATAATTATATTACAAAAATTATACATACATACAGCCGTTACAATGAATAGCAGCATAACTCGATTTTKGTAAAATTCATTTGTCTAAATTCACTTTCTAAAAGTTATATAACAATACATAAATTTCATAGAGCAGTGAGTAAATATCTCATAATGGTGATAAGATTCGAGGCTTTTAATTTGTATACTCTTGCAATATGTTGCTAYAGACTATATCGGTCTATATGTTCCCTCTTGAAACCGCAATACTTGTATCTCTGGAACCAAAATATCAAATTCAGTAAGTGGCATTGTTGTTGTAATAGTTATCTAGTACTCGTTAGATTGGAAAGGTTTAGATATGTTGACATCGAGATCATCCACCGGCCATAGGGAGAGGYGTGTCAGATGTGTAGGATTGGCATGCAAAGAGGTGGTGCGTGGACTCGTTKCATGCTGGACATAGATTTGATATGTCAGCGTCAATTYTGGATAAGTAGGAGTTTAAGCTGCTAGAGTATCCAGAACAAAGCTGCGCCAGGGTTAGTCTCGATTCTCATGGAAACTCGATCTCGTCGTATGCAATGTATGGTGGTTCGACTCCAAGTACGGCATATACTGAGAGAAGTAGGTGGAAGTGTTTATAGATCCACTTTGAATGGCGGTCAGTGCTTGTCTAGAGTTAGTTGCGCCCGATGTCTGCTCGACGTATTGTCTTWTGTCATCAAYKTACTTGACATTATTTCGGTATGGCTATGTTACAGTGTTAAAATGCGCGAAGTCGGACTACAATCCCATCACCTTTACATATAACACAAATTTTCATTCTCTATGATTCTTTCACCTTCCAATTTACAAATMAAGAAGCAATTGATATATCAAGATAGTGCTTTCAAATTATGTCATCTCCACTCTAAAAATKGTTAAAATCGAACCATAATGCAAGATATAATCGAATGAAAACTTGCCCTTGTTCTCATATAACGAACCTTCTTTTTAAAATATCAGGTTGTCTTTACTACTTATATATTGTTGGTGGTACATATGTAATGTAACTTAATGAAACTCAGAGAGCATATATTCTTAGAACATATGTCTAGGATATAGAAATGACAATTTTCAGCATTAATTAAGGAACAATTGGTGAGTTAGTAATGGGTCTATATAAAAGAAATTGTAGGATCGTTTTCATCGACGCTGTTGATTTAGTTGGACGAAAATATAAATTCAGGCTAGCTCCGGCTACGTATACCCGATTATCATGGAAGTAGTTTTTCAAATTGCCATAATCGACAGACAAAAACAAAAAAAAAAAAAAAATAAAACAATTTATAAGTTTAATGAAAACTATATTCACAGTTCATCTAAGTCGTACATATTTTTTTAAGTGATTTAACCACAGGAACGAAGCTGAATCATCCAATGCTGACTATTTACCTAAAACATAAGTCAATCTGGGTATATTTATAATATTCATACTAATAACTCGGTGCAATTGTAGAAAAAATGGGTAAACTACTACCTCTGGCCTCATATACCTAATAAAGATACTATATAATAATATCGATCAAATAGTGAGGTATGTTGATGAAACTTTCTTCAAAATTCTAACTTTTAACCACCAAAGCTATAATAGCAAAATTTGCTTAGAACAATTTCTATAAGACTAAAAACTACTGAAAACACGATAACTCAATAACCAAACACGCCCGAAATGGTATGAGAGGGATTTCTACGAGCCGGTGGAAAAACTGGACGATAGGTGATTTTAGTTAAAATCACATATTTCAGGACCTGCTCGACTGTTTTCAATCAAATTCTGTACGTAACATTCTTCTAGCATTCTTATATCGTAATGCGGCAATGACTGACATCGGACTGCAACCACACCCGCTTCACACAATTTTAAATTCCATATGACTCTTTCCTTTCCAGTGTACAAATCAAGAAGCAATTAATATAATGGGATAAAGCTCAGCGCGAATAATGCATTTTTCGTATGCCATCTAATGACCATAATTTGTTCAAATAAAAGTACAACAAAAACTAATCGAATATTTGGACCGCAGTATCTGTAGTTAACTTTTAACCGAAAATATGGGTTAATGTATGGGAAATAGAATTGAAATTTAGAGAGAAAACATTTCTGATAGTAATATCTCCGCATAAAAATGGATTGAATCAGGTCAATACTGTCCTGAGCCCCAAAAATAGATAAAACAATACTATTCTTATAAAATATATTTATTAATGATGAACATGATGAGCTGAGTCAATTTAGTCATGCCATCGGTCATGGTATACGCTTTCTTCCCTCTGTTTTAAAGATTTCGAACTGATATTTTAAAAACGTTTTTTTCTCTCAGAAACTGCTCATTTGTCGGAACCGCCGCACTATAGAATGCACCTGTCGTACAACCGACCGATCAAAATCAAAATAAGGATTTTTTATACCCTTTAATTTTATTTTAAATGCGCCGTTTAAGAAAATTAAATTTGTCTATTAAGAGGAACATAGAATTTATTCAGAACCTCATAACACCTATCGCATGTAAACTAGCTAAGTCCACGCCCTTGTCTAATACAACATATACATCTGAATATTAATTAAGACGCACTTGTTGTTGACGATTATGTCCACTTAATTATTATGTACTTATGACGATTCCGCTCGTAACGTGCGCAAAAAAATGCAATAAAAAAAAACTCACATTTATTTGCTTTAATTACAGCAACTAAGGGCTCGTGTATGAATATATACAAATATCATAAATATGTACATAAGAGTCATCTATACGTACAAAAACGCATGATTATCATTTTCAATGCCAGCAATTTTCTCTTTCATTTACAGTCGCGGTTGTCATATGTTTCTTATTGTGTTGGGCCCCCTTCCACGCGCAGCGGCTAATCGCTGTTTATGGTCCGAATGTTTGGGGCGGCGGTAGTGAGAGCGCTGATGGTGTTGCTGGCGGTGGGGAGCATGATGACGCTGCTGCAGCTGATAAGAATCATCAAGTGGTGATATACACCGTTATGACCTATGTGTCGGGAGTGCTTTATTACCTGTCGACATGCATCAATCCGTTGCTCTACAACCTGATGAGCAACAAGTTTCGGCAGGCATTCAAGGTGTGCATTACATTTAAAATCTTTTGCATTATATATAGACATACGATAATTGAAATTGCGTAATTTTTTTTGCTAATTGTTGTTAATTGTGATTTTCAGTCGATTTTAATACGTAAGAAAACGAATGGCTCGCTCAATTATCGACGCACTCAACAGTCGCAGAATTTACGTCGTAATCCGACACTCACCTCGAGTACGCAGCGTGAATCGAGTGAATCGGATCCGCTTTCGAAGCATTCAATGTTGCAGGTTGGTGTATAATTGTTTATAATTATAAATATAAAAGTAACCGTCTTCGATTCGCTAAAAATTAGAGAGTGGCAAATCGAACTTACAACTTGCTTAACGCAAATTGTTGGATTATTAAAATATAACAGAGAGTGGGAGATTATATCATGTTTTAACTAGTACAAACACCTACATTTTTCCAATTTTTAAAGAAGAACGTCAAGCTTAATCATTAATAGTGAATCGAAAATGGTTAGTTTTCAAGCAAATATTTACATTATTTTGTTTCGATTTTGCAGGCCGCGTTAAATGGGCGAAACGTGAACAGTAAACTAATGCCATAAACCGGAAAGTAATATGCATATATACTTAAAACAAATATAATTACATATACATATATGCATATGTAACTGTTATCATGACATATTCAAATTGTTAGCAGATATCGTAGAGTACAATGGTTCGGAACCCATCAAAGACGGAGGATATGTGGAAGCTATTCAAAGTGATTATAAGGTTTGGAACAATCAACTTCTTATGAAAACTGCATAAATTCTTGTAACACGATTCATTACTATGATCTATATCAATCGGATCTGTTTTAGTCGATTAAGGAATGTGTAATATTTACTGTTCCTGCGATTTTTGAGGTTGGGTTGGGTTTGATAAGCACTATATGATTTCTTAGGATTCCCGATACCAAAAGGTCTTGTGTTGAATATTATACCAAACATGACATAACACGAAAAAAAAATCCTAAAAGAATGTTTAAAAATAGACTTTAATCAGGTTACTTACTTTTGGATCTCTTTGCCCTTATTAAGAATGGCTCTAAATGCAGCAAGCTTGGGAATGCTACCAGACGTCATATGCAGTGGTGTACGAAGGAAAATGAGTTGAAATTAACTCAAAACTTCCCTCTTGACTGTCTTGCGTTTGGGAGGTCAATACTCAAACACTGGGGATGGCATACCTTCAGATATCGCACCTAGCTGGCAAGAATGGAAATTAAACGATGGAACACATAAGTTCTTCTTTTCTATGTAGTTCTAGTAGTTCACGTGCGATTTTAGATCCCCATCAAACCTAACCAACCGATTTTTAGACTTTCACCTATTTGAAACATAAGGTTAAAATTTTCACTGGTAGTTCGGTACTTATTGAACTTAAGTAATAATATTTTCTAGAAATATATTCTTTAATCTTATTAAAAAAATTGGAAAAAAGTTGCAATCGATTTTTTTATTCTTCCGTACTTTGCTTAAAGTTTTACTCTTTATAAAATCAGCAATTATTCTTCAAATAACTGTTTGCTTTTCACCGCTATAGGTATTTTTCCGTATAGATAGTAATGAAAAATCACAATATTGCCGCTAGAAGTTAAAACTTTTGCTTTAATATTATCGATTTGTTTAATAAATTGTGCTTTCAAATACAACCKCATTTATTATTCATAAAAAAATAACAATTATAGAAATGAAAATCACAAAAAGAGTAAATAGTATATGCTTTGTTCCTTATTTCTGTACTCTACATTCTAGGCGAAATTTGTTACACTTTGTCAGATAGTTAAAATAAATAGATTCAAATTATTTCAAAGCTTTATAAATTTTGCTATAAACTCTGGAATGATTATTCAATAGCAGTTCTGCGTTATGTTGAGATCGCAAATTTTCGATTAAAAATTATCAATTGTGATTAATCGATAACACTTTATTTATCGATTAAAATTATCAATTGCGATAAATCGATAACATATTGTTTTTTTAGTAAAATTTTTGCCATGATTTCTTCTGTTATTTTTTCCCAGAAGTTCAACCTAAATTTATTTACGTTTCATGGAAATATTGGTATACAATAAAATGTATCAATTAAATAGTACATGAATTCATCGATTTTTTGTAAGAGAAAAATTTGCATACGGAAAAATAATAATATATATATCAGACAAATAAAAAATAGTGTTGGCTATAAATGTTTTATCAAAAGCAAAAATATCGATTAACTACGATAGAAAAAATTATCGAAAAAATATCGCATTTTATTAAATTATAACTAATTAATTAAGTTTATTAAATATCAATAATAACAATTTTCTTTTTTAATAACAAAAAAATKAAGATATATGGCCAATTGCTTTAATTAAATTTGACAGAGATTTATGTTACTACRTTTCGAATAATTCATACGCACTGGTGCTCAGACCAGACTGCTTGTTACCATCGGCATTGCCGACAATATGTAAATCACCATTTTATTCATACTGTGGTTATTAAAACAATTTCAATTACTTATAATTACAGGCTATTGACTTTGAACGCTCATGAGCAAGCATGTGTGGATACATCGCAAAAACTACATGTATAATTTAGAATAGTTCCATACAAATGAGGTACTTAAAAGTGGCTACTTATTTAATTGCTGAATGCAGCAAGCAAACAGCTTCTCAGTAATTTAATTCATTTAAAATATACAATACTTATTCACAGCTATTTATGTGTATTTGTTAATATATACCTYTGTATTGTATATATGTATGTTTGTATGTAATAAGAAAGCTACTGACAAATTATACCCCTTACTGTTAAGCATTTAAAAACACGCTGTAAAATTACAACCATTACTTGGTAATGCTAAAATTATCGTATTTATTCTTTTGCAAACCCTGTTAGATAAAAAATAAAATAAAATGTATAACTGTGTGTTTTTTTTT